CAGGATCAATACGTCTGGTGTGGAGTCACATGTGCAGCTACGGGTCCAACGTTTTCAGTCCTTATAAGAGGTCTAATCAAGCACAACAAGAGAGAGCACCATTGTGGTTGTGAGGGGGTTTAATAAACCGTTTCTCACTGCACTTTACAATTAACTTTAACAGTAACACCTCAATTTCTATTGTGCAATGCATTGTGGGACTACAGTGTCAGCTAACAGCACTCAAAAATCACATTTCATGCCTGCATACTGATATTCCTGTGTGACCTCACTACGTACTCAAAACCTGATCAGTATGTAGTGTTGAACTGGGACACGGTTTGTGTCTCGCGGCGTTTTCCTGCCAAAGCTCCCTCATGACAGACATTTTTACATCAAAGAGAGATGAAACTAATGCATCAAAATAATTACTGCGTTCCATTTTAGTGTTTCAGTGTCAGGGCTCTGGTGTTTTGCTTGTTGGCTCACTGTCGTGACACAGAAACACACCTAAATGGAACAGAGCCATTATTAATGGTATTAGTTACACCTGCAAAATCTCTCTTCCTCTCCCAGCTTCCCTTCATTCCTGCTCCCCTCCCTTTCACACCCCCAACTTTCGTCACTGTCTCCTCTCTTACATAGTTTGCTAAAATGATAAATAGGTCACATACATGTGTGAGAGAATGAGGTGTGTGTGTGTGTGTGTGTTCGCTGGCTGTCAATGTGTGTTTGGGTCTGTTACTACAGCAAAAGCAAGGGGAAGCAGCTACAGTATGTGCCTGGTGATGAAGAGCAGAGCAGCTAAACCACTTCACTGCCAGTAAACATCCGTACATCCGTCCTTTCTCTTCTGTCTGTCCGCCTCTCCATCCACCACCAAACCCAGAGGAGTAAAGAGTATTTTGAGCAGTGTTTGAAGAGCCTAAACAGAGACCTGGGATCCTCTGAAAGCAACACAAATATAAGTGTGGGGGGCGTCACAACAAAGTGATTAGTAATCAACCATTACACTATTGCACCTCTAACTAAACCTACTGTCATCACAACACAGAAAAGTATCTCACACATCTGAATGTGAATGTGAGACAGGTGCATCGCAGGGAAAAACAGATTCAATAAGACACCCACAAACACAATCAGTCTAACTGCTGGCTCTGGCTTTTATCATATTTAATGCAACATTTCAGTCAAAAGGATTCGCTCGAGCAGTACGCAGGATGTTGTGCACAGTTTTCACTTTTATTCAAAGCATTTCTACTGAATGAACGATGAATACAAATAAAATAAAGATCCAATGTCCTCTGAGCGCACTAGTTTTTAATGTGTCTGCGGCTCTTTGAAGTGGTCTGTATCTTCTGTCGATTAAGTAATTGATGTAGACGTGGCAGGGTGTGTTTTTATGTAATATGACTGTGGGCTGCTTTCATATTGTATTGTTTTGCTATACTATGCTATGTTTTTGCTCTGGTGTAAGATTAGATTAGGTCTTCAACCGGCAGCCCGCGGCCACATCCGGCCCACAAAAGCTTCCCATCCAGCCCGCATAATATCCACCGATCAAAGAATTTAAATCTATATATATTTACAGTATTACGAAACTGACATCTGTGGCAAAATACCCACAGAAATGCTGTGTTATGTTACTTCTAATGCAAACCGAACATTTCCTACTGGTGCAGATTCACCAGTTTTATTATGAAGTAATGTAGTAAAGTCACATGATATGCAATGCGTTTGTCAGTGAGCTTGACACTGTTCACCAAGAATGCGTCAACAAAATGAGACAATCAATTTCAGCAGCTTTTGACTGCAAAAAATTCAATTTTGCAGGGAGTAATAGAAAGAGGCAGTCGCACCTCCAACGTCTCAGCGAGATAATCAACTACTTTCACTGTCGCTGTTCACGGCTTCTCACAGAATGATGGAAAAAAGCCAATTATTGTTTGACTTCTTCATTAAAATGTCAGTAGTTTGTTTTTCTGCCCCAAGAATTCTGTGACAAATCCAGCTCGATGGCTACAATCAAACATCAGCGAGTTATGACTGACCTTTATACTCCGGGGTGAACTCCTTCATTTCCGGAGGCAGAGACTCGTAGAAGCGCTGCTCTCTGCTGATCAGAGGCTTACACACTGTGTGGTCATCATAACGCATCATACTGGTGTGACCCCCCACCTGCAAAACACATAGAAACAGGAAAAACAACAAAAACTCAAATATCTGAAGTTTATTTCAGAAGAAAATAAAAATATTCACATCATGAACACAGAGCGTCACTTTGACTTCACGCCACCTGGTGTATGAAGGGCTCCAGTGGAACGCCTCCTGCTCGTGGTCGAAGTGAAGCCCCTCCCCCTGGCCCCGCCCCCTGTAGCTTGCTGTCCATGTTGTTGGTGTGAGGGAGGCACATGGCTCCTGGCGGACGCACCGCGCCTCCTCCTGCAGAGGAGAGAAGGATTATCAGAGAGAACTCATCTGGGCTTCTGTCTGTGTTTCACAATGAATAAATAAAAACAATAAAGCTGTCAGAACACCTTTGATTTCTGACGTAGTCCACTTGTTTTCTAGCAGAACTCAGCTCAAAGGCCTGCAGCACACATCTGCTCCAGCTGCAGCTCTCACTCAGGTATAATTTTAAATGTTCTGATGCTAGTGCTGAAACAATACTTGCGTTTCTGTATTGATACCACGTATCATTTTCCCTTTAAACAATAAAAACTTTAAACTGTTCTTTGTCCACTGGGTGGTAACGTACTGGCTTTTGATGTAGTTTATATTTATATTGGTCTGACACAATGGAATTTAGATAATGGATTATAAATATTAATTCTGTTTTATTCATCAATCAGAGGAAGTGATGTACAACCTTCCTCCCTCGTGTTCTGGTGCTTTGCTTGAGAAAAAGGATCAATTAGTTCTACTTTGGTCCAGAGGTGAAACCAATCTACGGGCGTGAACCGTGAAAGCTCGATATTTAAAAACCTAACCAACTGTATGACCTTCAACTGATTAACTCTACGGACTGGCAGCGTGATCTATGGGACGTCCCCTGCAGCAACAAATCAGGGTCCTGGTCCTGGTCTTACCCTGGGCATGGGCTCTGGTGTGCAGTGACGGGGAGGGGGGGGCACAGGGCACCACGGGCTGCTGGGAGCGCACGCCGGCCCCGGGGGGAGGCGGCGCCAGACCGAAAAACCACCTCGCAAAGCCTCCAATCAGAGTGCTCCAATCCACCGCCGGCAGCACGGAGACCCAATCAGGACGGGGGGTGGGGTGGAGCCGGGTGGAGGGCAGGAGAAGCAGGGTGTCAGCTCGGCAGGGTCACCGTTTCCTGTAGAGAGAGGAAGCGACACGTTAATGTTACTTAATGTGAATTTAAAGCTGCGTTTCGCGAGTTACAGGGAAGTCGGTGCGCCGTAAAAACCCGACACGCACTATGTTACATTACGTCATCCTTCAGCACATTCTCATTTACGATAGTTGTGATCGGAGTCTGAACCAGGCAGCTGATAAAAATAAAACACACACAGTTTTCTGGGCATGTCGCCACAAACAGTTGACATCAAATGATTCAGTCAGCTTCGACCAGACTCTCTCTCTCTCTCACACACACACGCACAGTACACACACGTAGTACACAAATACACACATGTTTTGATTCTCCGTGTAGCTCGGTGAGTAGGGCAACACTCGCAGGCAGCTGCCCGGATCAGGGAAGACGTCCTGCTGTACATAATGTTTGCCTGACTGTTGGAGTCCTGCTGCAGACGAATGATTTTGACTCCTTTTAATTAAGCACTGTGTTTGGAAAGCCACTCCTTAACAAAACCATTAAGCAATTAGTATATGGAGACATTTATAAATCCTACTTTATCTATCTCTATCATTTAGCTGTCTGATGATGATTTAAAACTCAACTGTAGTCTGAGAGGATATTCTGTGATTCAGGATTTATTCTCCAATAAGCAGTCAGCACTTTTATAAATACAACAGGCAACATAACAAAATCAAAGCCTATCTGTTGCTGAGTAACCTCCTAAAATAAAAACCACAATTATAAATGATTAGCATGTGAAACAATGACACTGGGGACGATAACAATGCAGTACAACACCGGATATGTTTTATTACCACATCAAACAGCTAAAGACACCACACAAATGTGATAAAGCAGAACATGTAAATTTCTATTTGAGGTTAATCATTCAAATCACACAGGAGCTGATGGTCTAGTAAAACATCCCGACTAAAGGTTCCTGAAAAAAAAACTATCTGGTTTAATATCGTGTCCTTTTTAAATTTAATTTTGTATTATATTGTTGTCGTGTTGGTTGGTTATAATGTAAATTAGAGCAGGTCTGCATTAAAATGTGGTTTTACACATCAATCATCAACCTCCTAAAAGCCCTGTTACTGCTTTTATATAAACAGCGACGTCACAAAGAGACGTCTCTAGCAGCAGAGATACACTTAATGAATTAAATTTTCACCGCTTCCTGTTCAATCCTCCAATCCCATCACGCGCCCAAAAGCTGCCCCAAAAAATGACTCATCGCCTGCCTGAAGACATGAAAGGAAAGGATGGAGAGGAAGAGTGGAAGAAATAAAAAAACAACGGAGAAGAAGAGGAGGATTGGAAGAGAGACGCAGGCCCCATTAATGATGTTATAGCCTGTGTGTGTGTGTGTGTGTGTGTTCCTGAAGGCATCATCTGGTCAGTATCAAGGCAGTAGTGAGGCATGATGCTCGCTGATGATATCACAATATGAGCTCAGAATAATGGAGTAAAACCAGACACAGCCTCCCTACGCAACACTTCATACTCTCTCCAAACACAAACCTTTCTATCTTACACACAGCGGGAACTTCGCTCACCTCTGAAATGGTTTCAACGCGACATTTAAACAGACCGTTATTTTAAATTCTGCTCAGCAGAGAAATGTTTTTATTCTTACGAATTCATGTGGTCCTTTAAGTGACCGTTCAGTCCGAGTTGGTGCTCACTGGAGGTAACAGCAGATGTGTTTTGATAATGCAAGAAATCGATCATTAAGTCCAGCTGGTCAATACTTTAAACCTCGACTCAATGCAGACTGCACTGGATAAAACTGGTGATTATCAAACTAAATTCAGTCAGGTGTTTCATCTGCAGTGCATTAATTATTTACTTCTCAACTATTAAATTAATTGCCAGTTTTTATGATAACTGATTCATTGTTTTGAATCATTTTTTAAGAAAAAGAAATGTCCAAATTCTCTGATTTCAGCTTCTCAAATGTGAATATTTTCTGGTCCCTTTTGTCCTCTCTGACATTAAAACTGAATATCTTTGGCTTGTGGACAAAACAAGTTGTTAGAGGACGCTGCCTTGGGCTTTGGGAAACACCGATCAACATTTTTCACAATGTTCTGACATTGTATGGACCAAACAACTAATTGATTAATAAAGAAAACAGTCAACGGATTAATCGATAAAGAAAATAATCTTTAGTTGCAGCGCTACAGTGCAGCAGTATTTTATTCGCTGCTCTGATTAATTAATTACCAAGAAGCGAACATACGATTGATCAGTCACCTGCTGAACTGATCCTGATGCATCTCAACATGACCTTTAAACAGTCTCCTCACTCAATAAACATGTGGCCTCTGTTATGTCACGTGTAGCACCTCTGATTGTTTTCCCTGAAGGTTATTAAGCCCAACACTATATTTCTTCAAGCATTCGCACAAGAAATAAAGTCATATCGACCACTGAGGGCAGCAAACACAGCTTCAGCAGCTACTCTGTCAGAATTGTAACAGGAGAAGAAAACTGGTTTATCTGTTTACAGAAAACAAACCGAGAGGATTAATCGCCTCGCGTTGTTTTGATAAATAAGAAGACAACAGTGTCGTTCGTCACAGTAATACTTCACTCATGATCCAATGTTGTGTTCCCTATTGCGTGAAATGTGCACATGCGTCAGTTTTTATCTACAGCATCACATGAAGCACGTGTGTGCGGATGCTGCAACTATGTATCAGGAGAAAAAACTATTTTGATAATAATTAATAATAATTTCAGTCATTTTTCAAGCAAAACTTCTGGTTCCAGCTTCTCAAATGGGACAATTCGTTTTCTTTGTCATTTATAATAATCACACGAAAAAAACAATCTGAATCTGACATTTTGGGCTCTAGGAAATTGTGCTGGACATTTTACTGTCAAATAAACTAAACGATTAATTAATTAACGAGAAAACAATCTGTAGATTAACCGTCATTGAATTGTTAGTTGCAGCCTTGGAGTGAAAATGCTACTGAATGCAGAGTATCCCACGAGGGATGGATGTGGACAATGAAAACTATTATACAGAGCGGTAATTACATCATGCAAATACTGTCTACTGAATGGCTACAGTCACACAAAGCCGAGACATGCTGCTTTGTTTTTAACCACTGGGATAAAAATATTGCCCATAAA